ATTGCTTAGGGTGGGTGTCATTAGATAGACTAATATAGCACAACTTAATTTCTGTAATACACAATATGTAATAAGTTTTTAAGTTCTTAATTAATAAAAAATTACAGCATATAAGCAATTTACTAAAAAAAAAAAAAAAAAAAAAATTTAGTTAATAATAATTTTATCTTGTTAATAAGTAAGAATTCATGATTTTAGTTTTTTAGAATATTAATAGATTGGTATACAAAGAAGTTGCTACCAACTAGTTAATATTGTAAAGCTATAGAATAATATATTGGGTCATCTATTACTGTCTTTTCAAGAGATGAAAACTATTGTAACTTTTTCTCTTTAGGTAAATGTAGAAGTCTTGGTAAGATATGTTGTTATTCAAATAAATATTCATTATTTGCTAAACAAAGTTGTTCTAAGTAGAGAATATATTTATATCAAAGTTGCTATTTGAATACTTTGTATTTGATATCTATTCTTAGTATTGGCTTTAAAGAAGAATTGCTATCCTGAATTGTCTGAGGCTATATAGTATTAGAGTTGAATATAATATTAATATCTACTTGTTGTATAAGTTAAATAAGTTTACATATATACTCCCTAGTTCAACTATACTAATATATACAATCTATTTTTAATTACTATATAGAAATAGCAATGTATAGAAAAATCTACAAGACAATTTATCAAGAGTATTTGCAGAGTAGAGACTATAGTTTTACAAAGATGCAATACAAAATAAAAAATATATATTCATACAATTAATTTGGATATTATTTGGCAATAAAAAAGTCATCTTTAGTATTATATTTTTTAAACTATATCAAATAAAAGTATTTAAAGTTAAAAACTTGCTAAATAATTTGCATATATATTTACACTTTCATTTTATATTGCCAAAAGGACAAAAATCAGATGATTTTTTAGGAAAAGATGGTAAAAAAAGTTAAAATTATATATAAAAATCTAATTAAAAATATAATAAGAAAGAAAGAGAGTAGGTATGCCTCTGATAAAAAAAAATCAGGTGATAAATAACACTGTTTTTATCAAGATTTAACTTGCTTTCTCTGTAATTTTCTAGATTTCTTTATATACTAGTTTATATGCTCTAATCTTCAAATACTTTAGCAAATAATACAGAGCTTTATTACAAAAATAGTATACAAACATCTAGCTAATTTGATCTGTATAACAGAAAACAATCATAAATATAATCAGATTCTACTTTTTATTTAACCAGTTTTATTTCCCAACTGCAGACAATTGCATGTATAGTATGCAAAATATGTAATTAACTCTGGCCAGCATTAAGAAATTAACTTATAATTTTGGTTAAAACATGCATGCATTATGCAAAAAATATATGTATATATATATACCAAAATGAAAATTTTGTATTTTGTTCATCTCTACTGCAGACACATATCTCTTATTAATTAGTTTGAAAACTTTTATTTTATTTAACTTTATACAAGCCATACTAGTAGCAAATATATATTACAAAAAAATAGACAATATTCTTATTTAAATACTACTAAATATATTTGCAGAGTCTTTAAGCAAATTTGGAAACCATATTGTGACAAACTAACAAAATAAAAAAAAACAAAACAATATTCTAGCACATAACTGAACACAATTAATATATAGTCAGATTATAGAAACTATATACAACTGCCTATATAGTTTATTTAATCAACTTCATACTAATAATAATAATAATAATAATAATTATCTACCAATAGAACAAGTATAATATAAATTTAATTAATAGTTTATAACATAAATCCAATATAACTATGTACAAACTATATATTAATTATTAAATCTAAATAAGTCTTGATCACTCTAGTAGGTTTAAGTTATAAATAATTAGTCTAAGCTTATATTCTTATATATAATTTATAATAATTTGTTTTGTACAAACTAGTTTTTTATTATAAATACTCAATAAATTGCTAAATAAAGATACAAGCAAAGCCTTATTTTTAAAAAAAAAAAAAATTAATTTAAAATAAAATTAAAATTATTATTTAATTAAAATCCAAAAGCAATTATATTAATAAAATTTTTTTTTTTTTTTTAATATTTAAGGTAAGACCTTGTTCTTATTTTTATTAAACTTAATGAAAACTTTTTGCATGATTAAAAAAAGTTTTATATTTTAAGCTTAGTGCTAAGAATAAGAACTCAAACATATAATTAGAAAAACTTAATAGCCAATCTAGAGACTTATCTGTGGCCTAAATCTACCAGAGTGGCCAAAGCTCATCTAGATTTGAAATAAGTTAAAAATATATAATAAGTGTGTATGATATTTGATCCAGTTAGAATACCAAGAAGATGTTTTTAACGAGGCTGTTTGGTAAATAGTATTAGAAGTATCAAGTACAGAGGTGTGTATTAGAAGATAGTTCAGATAAAAGAGATAGCAAGGTTTTGAAGGTTAAAGTAAGGGTCTAGAACTACAATATGGAATCTAGATGTTTAAGAATAATTGTTTGTTGATATAAAAAAGAAGTTGAATAGTGATTGAAATAGCTAGTTGATTGGATGTAGTAAATTTATATATTGTATATATAATATCAAGTGGGATAAGACCAGAAAGTGTAAAGAAATTAAAAGGTTTGTCAGAGAAGTTGTAAATTTGAAAACTGTCAAGGTTAACAATTTGGTTGTGTAGTTGGTTGATTTGAGATGGAGGAATTTGAAGTTTGTGAATAGTTAGAATTTGTCATAGCAAATTTTGTATAAGTATATAGAGGTGGTTGGGGGAGGGGTATATAGCCTAGTGTAGTATAGTACTTGTTTGCTGATATATGGGGTCTTTGCTAGGAAAACCAAGCTTTGGGACTATATAAAATTTACAGACAAAATTTAATTTTTCTAGTCATTCAGTAATCCAATTTGAATAAATATTTTTTTGTTTTGTAAAGCTCACTGAGCTTTACAAATTAAAAAAATATTTATTCAAATTGGATTACTGGATGACTAGAAAAATTAAATTTTGTCTGTAAATTTTATATAGTCCCAAAGCTTGTTTTCCTAGCAAAGACCCTATTTATTATTAATAAACCTGAACTCATTAAAGAATTTACAAGATATAAATTATAGTTTTGATTTATAGTTAACAAACTCAAACACATGACAAGAACAATCTGAATTTAAAAATTATAAAAATCTAACTATTTCAATTTAAGAGTACTTATATAATAATGAACCCAAACTGAGTACTGAACATAAACACTTAGATAAATATACACAAAAAGCCTGCTACTAGACTCAATAAATCAATTCTTATAATGTCTAGTACTTGAGATATAAAAAGTATATATTAAGATCTATTCTTAACATAATAAATTAAATAGCTCTTTATTAAGGCTTATATCTTGATTGTTCTTTTTAATATTTTTTGGTTGAGCATTTCAAATATATATAACGCCTATATGCAGCAATATATACAGCTAGTAAGCAATGATTAGTAAAATATTCTTTTCTAAGTTAAGTTCACCAGATTCTTGATTATTTTCGATTATTTTTATATAGTGAATGTTTTACGCTCCTCTGCACATACTGGCAGTAATTATGTTGATTTTTTTTGTTAGTGAAATATTATATTCTTAAAAGTACTTTAAAGTATATAAATAAGTTATCCTAGAAATTGATTTACATTAGCCAATTATAGGATTGTCTGCTATGCTAGTGATAACTGTAAACCGGTACGTTAGTCGCTAATCGATCTGAGACTTTGTGTAATCTATAATTAGCTTAGTCAAATAGAGGCATTTAGATTTGGCAAGTGGTAATTTTAACTATAGGTATGTCTTCTTTACTCATAACAGAAATTTAATAAAACTAGATAACGCTTATATTTTCAAATTACAAACAGTTTAACAAAACCACAGCCTGAGTTCTTCCACAATAACCCAAAGCTGAAATCAAACAACCACAGAATTCACAGTTCATCAGGAGACTGGAAAACAATTCCAACTATCTTTGGTACGTCGAGACAGCTAGAAAATAACAACCACGAAAGCTCTCAGTACATTGAGAAACAACTGAACAGAGTTTCAGTACACTTTATATTTATCACGTAAGCAAGGGATAGCAATCATGCTACTTATGCTACTTAATTAGTAGATTAGAGTTAAGTATTTTTATTTATTAATTATGAAAGGTATGAAGTTATTAGGAAATGAAATTATGTGAATCACAAAAGAATTTTTCTTCTCCAAGAGCGAGAGGCCTTTATTATATACATTTTATTACTTAGGACCAATTATACATATTATCTTTGTTATATTTATTTTGCCAAGGATATATTATATACTATATAAATCATTGATATTATTAATATTTGTTATTCCACTGATATTATATTTACCGGGCATACTAGGTATACCAGGTATACTTCTGGAATATCTATTTTAAGCAAAGATTAACCCATCTATTAATTTGATACTGCACTGCTTCAATCATCATCTTACATGTGTTATCAGGGCATATTTATGGTTTACATTTCAAAGTGAGTCCCATGAACTTTACCATGCCAACATCCAAGCTTCCTCACTTGTCATCCTTCTAAAGTCATGGAAGGTCACTTCTGAGGTTGCATAGATTTGGCCTATACTACATATAGAGAATACATTGTAGATTCATATAATGGTATGATGATAATGTTCTGACACCATTCTGTGCATTTGTGTCCTTTAGTCACTAGTGGCATGAGCGAATAGCATCCCTAAGTAATAGGTGTATACCAAGGTTTCGATTCTATTTCGGAGCTGTATTGCTCGAGCTAGTAGAGGCTGCATTATAGATACTGCAGTAACTAAGTCATGTGATTCATCGAAAGGTGGTGGTGTAACCTCAACATCATCAGGAACTAGAGCAGTGATGTCAACAATAATATCATAAATACTCAACATTATTGCTATGATTGTAATATAAATTTTTCCATGCTCTATTTCTTCTTTTTATATCTTTTTATTCATACTTGCTTTTTCTATAGTCCTATAATTTCTGCTTCAATTTTTTTCATTACGATAGTATTCGATTTGATCGAGAAATTATTATTATTATATATTTTATTATATAAGGTAGGTATAGGTATTATGATGCATTACCAATTATGGCACAGTTGCAATATCTCGTGACCCACTAATTGGGATTGCACAATCTTAGTACCAATCAATTGTCTCAGTTAGACGAATTGATTTGTGGTAAAATCATTCAAATCTGATCGTTATATCACGAGATATTGCCAATAAACCATAATGCTCCAATTGTGCTATTTTATATTTATTTAATTTTGTATCACACATGACCGTTAATAACCTGGGACCTCATGATTAGAATTGAGCGATTTTGGTACCATTCAATTCATCTCAATGAGACAAATTGAATAGTATAAAATTATTCAATTTGAAACGTAGGATCACAGATTTTCTTTTAATTACTATACTTTGCTTATAATATTTAAATGATAATATCTTGAATTCTAACAAACGATGTTGGGTGATTTTTATGTCATTTAATTCATCTCATTGAGATGAATTGGTGGTGGTAAAATTATCCAAATCTGATCACTAGGTCGTGAGTTATTGCTAGTGCGTCATAATACCCATATTGCGCTATATTACCCTTTAATTTTTTATATATACGATTATTAATAACTCACGATCCTGTGATCTAAATTAGAAAATTTTAGTACCAATCAATTTGTCTTGATGAAACAAATTGAATGGTACCAAAATTATTTAATTTGAACCAGTGGATAACAGGTTATACTAAATTTATTTTAACTATGCCATAATATCTATACTTACCTTATATATATATTTTTTTATTTTTTTATTTATTTTTTTATTTTTATTTTTTTTGTGTATTTGTTTGTAGTATTGTTATATACAAGCAATCTTTGCTTGTTATTCATATAGAGGATGTCTAGCGTTATACTTCTTTAATAACTTGATATTTATAGAAGTTAATATAATATTTCCTTCTAT